TTGGTCTCGGTCTTGGTCTCGGTCTTGGTCTCGGTCTTGGTCTCGGTCTTGGTCTCGGTCTTGGTCTCGGTCTCGGTCTCGGTCCCTCGGTCTCGGTCTTGGTCTCGGTCTTGGTCTCGGTCTCGGTCTCGGTCTCGGTCTCGGTCTCCTCGGTCTTGGTCTCGGTCTATATATTTTAATATTTATATATTTAGTTAAAACCTTAAAAATATCCCTCACACTATTAGTTATGCTTTTCGTTAAATATAAATAATTTTTAACGATTTTCAAACTTTATTGGATTTATCTGCTTCTTAAATTTACTCGTGACATTTTAAATAAAAAACGATTTTAAATCATAAATTTGTACTAAAGTATATATATATTTTTTATTCTAAATATTTAGTTAAAACCTCAAAATAATATATAGTTCTGAAAACTTAGCCTTTACCAAGTTGCAAATATTTTTTATGAATTTTTCAAACTCTACTTTAAATCGACTTCAGAAATATCACGACGCGATAATAATATATGTATAAAAAGCGATTTTAACTAACAAATATATACTAAAATAAACATTTTTGACTTAAATAAATAGCTTAAACTTCAAAAAAAATTATTAGTATCAAAATTACCATTTCATTTAATTTTAAATTATTTTTAACGAATTTTGAAATCTTTGTTGTATATATTAGCTCAGAAGATCCTTCTTGACTAAAAAGAGGTTTTAAATAATAATTTTCTACTAGAGTATATACATTCATTTATTTAAATATTTAGTCAAAACTTCAAAAAACTTTTTGCACAAAAAATCACCTTTCTATACTATTTTTATCTAATTTTTATCTAATTTTTATCTAATTTTTATCTAATTTTTATCAATTTTTATCAATATTTTCCTTCCCAGGTATACAGATTTGGCCTGGCTAGAAGAAAACGTTCGAGGGCAGGATTATTTCAAATGCATGTCCTCGATTTCTGCAAATCCTTTAAGTACTGATGCAACCTGGAAATACGTCCAGGACAATTGGCAAAAAATGATCGACAGGTTCGGATTGGGGGGAAGAAATTTGGGCAGACTTATTCCATCTGTTACCGACAGATTTACTACTGAGGATAGGCTGAAAGAGGTAAAAAGACGATATGAAAGATGATACAAAATTATCATTTATTCAAAATTTTTATATCGGAGTGTATAAAAGTGTGACCTAGGAAATGTTGTAAATTTTATCTAGTTTCACCCTGTGTAATTGAAAAGGGGTGGTTTTATATGAAGTATTTGAGTTATTTGACAAAAACCAAAAAAATGTCCCGAATTAAAATTTAATTTTTCAGATGATTGACTTCTTTGCCAAATTTCCGGAGGCCGGAGCAGGAGCTGCTGCTCGGAAACAAGCCCTGGAAACTGTTTCCAATAATATAAAATGGTTAAAAGTTAACAAAGACATTGTTGCAAAATGGTTGAACGAGAGGAAATGATTTAAAAAAATATATATAAGTGCTCTTTAGTGTTGAAAGTCGAACGCAATTGTAAAACTAAACAGAAAGTTTTTTTTTTATTAAATAAATAAAGTATGTGCATATTTTTGTTATTAATTTAATTTCAAGGTATTCCTCTGTCTGTAAAAAAATAATAGGAGCAATAATAATATGCGTTTAATTTTTGTATTTTGTATAAATAAAAATTGATATATTTTGTATATCTTTTATATATTATATGGTTCAATTTAACACTGATTTGATTTTAAATAAGAGCAAATTAATAATTAAATGAATATATAAACAAGATTTAAAACAAAAAACAAGTCAAAATAGAAAATATTTTGCAGTCAAGACAGGTTTTATAGCTGCTCGAAGACTGAGATTATATCGTCAACAAATAAGTAAAAAAAAATACCATCAGCCAATGAATGTATGTTAATTTTAATTACATGAAGTTCTTCAAACAGAATTATTACATGATGAGTGAAGTTGCAAAAACAATATTTGGCGTTGTTTAACATAATAATTATCTTCATTTTTATAGCTCATAAAAAATATTGAAGCAGTACACCTTTATTCTATCATGCCCAAGATATATCCTTTTCAGAATTATATCTCAGATGTTTTTGGTAGTTTAGATGAAGTCTACATGTTTTTCGATCATGCTAAGTATTACAAAGTTGCATAATGAAGAATAAATTGATATTCAGATTTATTAATCTAAACAAGAGTTGAAGCACAAGAATAGTTTGTGTAGGTTTGTATCATTTCTATACATATATACTTTATAATGGACATCTATGCTATAAATAAACTATTTATTTGTTACAAGTTTACTGTGTGAATTTATTAATCAGCAATTACTTCATTTCTTTAATGAAGGTTCATTTTTAAATGCTAATTACAATGACAAACCGACAATGTCATATCCGAAGTATGACTTTAATTACATTATTGTTTGTAAATATTATACATATTTTTAATGCTATTATAAATATATAATTTATCATTATCATATAAATGTGTATAATGGTTGACACTAATAAATGTGTGCATCACGAGTGTTACCATATTACTGATGAGCGTTATTCAAAATTGTTATATGATGTATTTATTTTTACTTAAATGCCATCTCATACAGCAACAAAAAAGTTTTACTTCAATACTTATTATATTTGCAATGCGTTACAAATGTGAAATAAAGTTATAACAATTTGCATATATCATTTAGTCAAAATTCAAATTTGAAATTGGACCCTTTGTGGCGCTACTGTTCACCGATCGAAAACTCTGAAGTTGCACAAAATGGCGACTTGTCAGCACTTGTTGAAGGCGCCTTAGTTCTTTATGGGATTCTAGTGAAAACAAATGGCAAAAAAAGAAGTGAGTGCTATATAAATAATGTAGTTAGTTGTGCAAGAAATATTTTGTGATGCAAGAAAAATGGAGCACCCTTAGAAGTCACGAGCGGCGGATCGGATAGTAATTGAAAGGTATGGTAATAGACATTTAGTATATAGACATTTGATAGTTTTGTTAAGAACGAGTTTTATGGGTTCGTGCTGATTCTTGCTTGTGATTTAGTAGTCAGTTTTAATGCATCGAATTCCAATACAGATTTTTTTATACTTAAAAGTTATATATACACTTATAGGTAATATTTTTACAACATAACCTGTAAGTTACAAGCAAAGATGTTGAAAATTGAAATAAAACTAGTGGGGCGCACGGCATCGTTCCTTAAGGCAACTTGCTGGAACTTCCCGTACCAAAAATTATTTTTAAAAACATTAACATTTTTGACACGCACACATACATCCATTTTTTGTAATGTATGTCAAAATGTCCAGAAACCTCACGATTACTATAACTTACCCTAAGGGGAGTTAAAAAATGTAGTAAAAGAAATAGAATTAAATAAGTGAGCAAATAGTAATTATAAATAACTTGCAGAATTATGTTCTGGATCATAGATCACTCAGCCATTTTCTCTTTAGTTTTTCGACTGACTGGGATTGACATATGTATCCAATTTGTCTCGAACAATCAACCTTCTGCTTTTAATGACTTCTATTGGGAATTTTTAGGTCCTCGTGAATTATATATAAACCCATCAATGCTGCATATCATTCTCAGTATATTGTTTTGGGCTTTCTGAATTATAAAATATGTTATATACTATGTGTCGATATTGGAATTATCATCGAGAAGCTTATTCTGTAATCAAAGTTTGGATGATCATCCTATGAGCCAGTTCAGGTACTTCAATTTTAAATCTATTTATTCCTTTTTCATTATTATGTACATTTTCCAATTTAGTTTACTATCTACATGCATTATTAGATTTTTTATCAGGCCTTGTGTGGCTTCTTAATGAAACGATAAGATGTTGGTATTTGGTAACATCTGGTTCGATGTTCCATTTTTTAGCTATAATTCTGTTTCTCTTAGTGAGCTCAAGGTTTATTTATTTATTACCCTTTTTTTTTTATTATGCCCCTCCTTGCAGACTTTTTTGACAGCACGTGAGGCTCCAAATAAAAACCTCGATATGCAATTTGAAGAAATGTTCCCATGACAATCTTACTAATGTTGAAATGCAGTTAAAATGGAGATTTTATTTTATTTTAGTTTGATTTTTAGACCATTCACACTTTTATACATTTATATTTTCTAGCAATTTACAATATCTTCTGACAAAATACTATATTTTCTGACACTTTTAAACAGTTTCTATGTTTTGTTAACATTTTCTGACTATTTTTAAACATTTTCAGATTTAAAGCATGTTCTGATGATTTACAATATTTTTTGATAATTTTTTTTAAACAATTTCTATGTTTTTTCCAAAACAATGGCTATTTATTTTAAATTTGAAACTATCAGACTATTTATTTTAAATTTGAAACTATTTGACTATTTATTTTAAATTTGAAACTATTTGACTATTTATTTTAAATTTGAAACTATTTGACTATTTATTTTAAATTTGAAACTATTTGACTATTTATTTTAAATTTGAAACTATTTGACTATTTATTTTAAATTTGAAACTATTTGACTATTTATTTTAAATTTGAAACTATTTGACTATTTATTTTAAATTAAAAACTATTTGACTATTTATTCTAAATTTGAAACCATTTGACTATTTATTTTAAATTTGAAACTATTTGACTATTTATTTTAAATTTGAAACTATTTGACTATTTATTTTAAATTTGAAACTATTTGACTATTTATTTTAAATTTGAAACTATTTGACTATTTATTTTAAATTTGAAATTATTTGACTATTTATTTTAAATTTGAAACTATTTGACTATTTATTTTACATTTGAAACTATTTGACTATTTATTTTAAATTTGAAACTATTTGACTATTTATTTTACATTTGAAACTATTTGACTATTTATTTTAAATTTGAAACTATTTGACTATTTATTTTAAATTTGAAACTATTTGACTATTTATTTTAAATTTGAAACTATTTGACTATTTATTTTAAATTTGAAACTATTTGACTATTTATTTTAAATTTGAAACTATTTGACTATTTATTTTAAATTTGAAACTATTTGACTATTTATTTTAAATTTGAAACTATTTGACTATTTATTTTAAATTTGAAACTATTTGACTATTTATTTTAAATTTGAAACTATTTGACTATTTATTTTAAATTTGAAACTATTTGACTATTTATTTTAAATTTGAAACTATTTGACTATTTATTTTAAATTTGAAACTATTTGACTATTTATTTTAAATTTGAAACTATTTGACTATTTATTTTAAATTTGAAACTATTTGACTATTTATTTTAAATTTGAAACTATTTGACTATTTATTTTAAATTTGAAACTATTTGACTATTTATTTTAAATTTGAAACTATTTGACTATTTATTTTAAATTTGAAATCATTTGACTATTTATTTTAAATTTTGAAACTATTTGACTAATTATTTTAAATTTGGAACTATTTGACTAGTTATTTTAAATTTGAAACTATTTGACTATTTATTTTAAATTTGAAACTATTTGACTATTTATTTTAAATTTGAAACTATTTGACTATTTATTTTAAATTTGAAACTATTTGACTATTTATTTTAAATTTGAAACTATTTGACTATTTATTTTAAATTTGAAACTATTTGACTATTTATTTCAAATTTGAAACTATTTGACTATTTATTTTAAATTTGAAACTATTTGACTAATTATATTAAATTTGAAACTATTTGACAATTTATTTTAAATTTGAAACTATTTGACTATTTATTTTAAATTTGAAACTATTTGACTATTTTATTTAAACGATTTTTATTTTATTCAAACAATTTTTATGTTTATTTATTTGCACACTCTGCAGTAGCACATCTTCGCATATATCTATGGTTCATGTCGGAAAAAGCCGCCAAAAAATTCATTCTTTCTTTTGGGACTTGCCGGTAAAAAAATAATAGGAGCAATAATAATATGCGTTTAATTTTTGTATTTTGTATAAATAAAAATTGATATATTTTGTATATCTTTTATATATTATATGGTTCAATTTAACACTGATTTGATTTTAAATAAGAGCAAATTAATAATTAAATGAATATATAAACAAGATTTAAAACAAAAAACAAGTCAAAATAGAAAATATTTTGCAGTCAAGACAGGTTTTATAGCTGCTCGAAGACTGAGATTATATCGTCAACAAATAAGTAAAAAAAAATACCATCAGCCAATGAATGTATGTTAATTTTAATTACATGAAGTTCTTCAAACAGAATTATTACATGATGAGTGAAGTTGCAAAAACAATATTTGGCGTTGTTTAACATAATAATTATCTTCATTTTTATAGCTCATAAAAAATATTGAAGCAGTACACCTTTATTCTATCATGCCCAAGATATATCCTTTTCAGAATTATATCTCAGATATTTTTGGTAGTTAAGATGAAGTCTACATGTTTTTCGATCATGCTAAGTATTACAAAGTTGCATAATGAAGAATAAATTGATATTCAGATTTATTAATCTAAACAAGAGTTGAAGCACAAGAATAGTTTGTGTAGGTTTGTATCATTTCTATACATATATACTTTATAATGGACATCTATGCTATAAATAAACTATTTATTTGTTACAAGTTTACTGTGTGAATTTATTAATCAGCAATTACTTCATTTCTTTAATGAAGGTTCATTTTTAAATGCTAATTACAATGACAAACCGACAATGTCATATCCGAAGTATGACTTTAATTACATTATTGTTTGTAAATATTATACATATTTTTAATGCTATTATAAATATATAATTTATCATTATCATATAAATGTGTATAATGGTTGACACTAATAAATGTGTGCATCACGAGTGTTACCATATTACTGATGAGCGTTATTCAAAATTGTTATATGATGTATTTATTTTTACTTAAATGCCATCTCATACAGCAACAAAAAAGTTTTACTTTAATACTTATTATATTTGCAATGCGTTACAAATGTGAAATAAAGTTATAACAATTTGCATATATCATTTAGTCAAAATTCAAATTTGAAATTGGACCCTTTGTGGCGCTACTGTTCACCGATCGAAAACTCTGAAGTTGCACAAAATGGCGACCTGTCAGCACTTGTTGAAGGCGCCTTAGTTCTTTATGGGATTCTAGTGAAAACAAATGGCAAAAAAAAGAAGTGAGTGCTATATAAATAATGTAGTTAGTTGTGCAAGAAATATTTTGTGATGCAAGAAAAATGGAGCACCCTTAGAAGTCACGAGCGGCGGATCGGATAGTAATTGAAAGGTATGGTAATAGACATTTAGTATATAGACATTTGATAGTTTTGTTAAGAACGAGTTTTATGGGTTCGTGCTGATTCTTGCTTGTGATTTAGTAGTCAGTTTTAATGCATCGAATTCCAATACAGATTTTTTTATACTTAAAAGTTATATATACACTTATAGGTAATATTTTTACAACATAACCTGTAAGTTACAAGCAAAGATGTTGAAAATTGAAATAAAACTAGTGGGGCGCACGGCATCGTTCCTTAAGGCAACTTGCTGGAACTTCCCGTACCAAAAATTATTTTTAAAAACATTAACATTTTTGACACGCACACATACATCCATTTTTTGTAATGTATGTCAAAATGTCCAGAAACCTCACGATTACTATAACTTACCCTAAGGGGAGTTAAAAAATGTAGTAAAAGAAATAGAATTAAATAAGTGAGCAAATAGTAATTATAAATAACTTGCAGAATTATGTTCTGGATCATAGATCACTCAGCCATTTTCTCTTTAGTTTTTCGACTGACTGGGATTGACATATGTATCCAATTTGTCTCGAACAATCAACCTTCTGCTTTTAATGACTTCTATTGGGAATTTTTAGGTCCTCGTGAATTATATATAAACCCATCAATTGCTGCATATCATTCTCAGTATATTGTTTTGGGCTTTCTGAATTATAAAAATATGTTATATACTATGTGTCGATATTGGAATTATCATCGAGAAGCTTATTCTGTAATCAAAGTTTGGATGATCATCCTATGAGCCAGTTCAGGTACTTCAATTTTAAATCTATTTATTCCTTTTTCATTATTATGTACATTTTCCAATTTAGTTTACTATCTACATGCATTATTAGATTTTTTATCAGGCCTTGTGTGGCTTCTTAATGAAACGATAAGATGTTGGTATTTGGTAACATCTGGTTCGATGTTCCATTTTTTAGCTATAATTCTGTTTCTCTTAGTGAGCTCAAGGTTTATTTATTTATTACCCTTTTTTTATTTATTATGCCCCTCCTTGCAGACTTTTTTGACAGCACGTGAGGCTCCAAATAAAAACCTCGATATGCAATTTGAAGAAATGTTCCCATGACAATCTTACTAATGTTGAAATGCAGTTAAAATGGAGATTTTATTTTATTTTAGTTTGATTTTTAGACCATTCACACTTTTATACATTTATATTTTCTAGCAATTTACAATATCTTCTGACAAAATACTATATTTTCTGACACTTTTAAACAGTTTCTATGTTTTGTTAACATTTTCTGACTATTTTTAAACATTTTCAGATTTAAAGCATGTTCTGATGATTTACAATATTTTTTGATAATTTTTTTTAAACAATTTCTATGTTTTTTCCAAAACAATGGCTATTTATTTTAAATTTGAAACTATCAGACTATTTATTTTAAATTTGAAACTATTTGACTATTTATTTTAAATTTGAAACTATTTGACTATTTATTTTAAATTTGAAACTATTTGACTATTTATTTTAAATTTGAAACTATTTGACTATTTATTTTAAATTTGAAACTATTTGACTATTTATTTTAAATTTGAAACTATTTGACTATTTATTTTAAATTTGAAACTATTTGACTATTTATTTTAAATTAAAAACTATTTGACTATTTATTCTAAATTTGAAACCATTTGACTATTTATTTTAAATTTGAAACTATTTGACTATTTATTTTAAATTTGAAACTATTTGACTATTTATTTTAAATTTGAAACTATTTGACTATTTATTTTAAATTTGAAACTATTTGACTATTTATTTTAAATTTGAAATTATTTGACTATTTATTTTAAATTTGAAACTATTTGACTATTTATTTTACATTTGAAACTATTTGACTATTTATTTTAAATTTGAAACTATTTGACTATTTATTTTACATTTGAAACTATTTGACTATTTATTTTAAATTTGAAACTATTTGACTATTTATTTTAAATTTGAAACTATTTGACTATTTATTTTAAATTTGAAACTATTTGACTATTTATTTTAAATTTGAAACTATTTGACTATTTATTTTAAATTTGAAACTATTTGACTATTTATTTTAAATTTGAAACTATTTGACTATTTATTTTAAATTTGAAACTATTTGACTATTTATTTTAAATTTGAAACTATTTGACTATTTATTTTAAATTTGAAACTATTTGACTATTTATTTTAAATTTGAAACTATTTGACTATTTATTTTAAATTTGAAACTATTTGACTATTTATTTTAAATTTGAAACTATTTGACTATTTATTTTAAATTTGAAACTATTTGACTATTTATTTTAAATTTGAAACTATTTGACTATTTATTTTAAATTTGAAACTATTTGACTATTTATTTTAAATTTGAAACTATTTGACTATTTATTTTAAATTTGAAACTATTTGACTATTTATTTTAAATTTGAAATCATTTGACTATTTATTTTAAATTTTGAAACTATTTGACTAATTATTTTAAATTTGGAACTATTTGACTAGTTATTTTAAATTTGAAACTATTTGACTATTTATTTTAAATTTGAAACTATTTGACTATTTATTTTAAATTTGAAACTATTTGACTATTTATTTTAAATTTGAAACTATTTGACTATTTATTTTAAATTTGAAACTATTTGACTATTTATTTTAAATTTGAAACTATTTGACTATTTATTTCAAATTTGAAACTATTTGACTATTTATTTTAAATTTGAAACTATTTGACTAATTATATTAAATTTGAAACTATTTGACAATTTATTTTAAATTTGAAACTATTTGACTATTTATTTTAAATTTGAAACTATTTGACTATTTTATTTAAACGATTTTTATTTTATTCAAACAATTTTTATGTTTATTTATTTGCACACTCTGCAGTAGCACATCTTCGCATATATCTATGGTTCATGTCGGAAAAAGCCGCCAAAAAATTCATTCTTTCTTTTGGGACTTGCCGGTAAAAAAATAATAGGAGCAATAATAATATGCGTTTAATTTTTGTATTTTGTATAAATAAAAATTGATATATTTTGTATATCTTTTATATATTATATGGTTCAATTTAACACTGATTTGATTTTAAATAAGAGCAAATTAATAATTAAATGAATATATAAACAAGATTTAAAACAAAAAACAAGTCAAAATAGAAAATATTTTGCAGTCAAGACAGGTTTTATAGCTGCTCGAAGACTGAGATTATATCGTCAACAAATAAGTAAAAAAAAATACCATCAGCCAATGAATGTATGTTAATTTTAATTACATGAAGTTCTTCAAACAGAATTATTACATGATGAGTGAAGTTGCAAAAACAATATTTGGCGTTGTTTAACATAATAATTATCTTCATTTTTATAGCTCATAAAAAATATTGAAGCAGTACACCTTTATTCTATCATGCCCAAGATATATCCTTTTCAGAATTATATCTCAGATATTTTTGGTAGTTAAGATGAAGTCTACATGTTTTTCGATCATGCTAAGTATTACAAAGTTGCATAATGAAGAATAAATTGATATTCAGATTTATTAATCTAAACAAGAGTTGAAGCACAAGAATAGTTTGTGTAGGTTTGTATCATTTCTATACATATATACTTTATAATGGACATCTATGCTATAAATAAACTATTTATTTGTTACAAGTTTACTGTGTGAATTTATTAATCAGCAATTACTTCATTTCTTTAATGAAGGTTCATTTTTAAATGCTAATTACAATGACAAACCGACAATGTCATATCCGAAGTATGACTTTAATTACATTATTGTTTGTAAATATTATACATATTTTTAATGCTATTATAAATATATAATTTATCATTATCATATAAATGTGTATAATGGTTGACACTAATAAATGTGTGCATCACGAGTGTTACCATATTACTGATGAGCGTTATTCAAAATTGTTATATGATGTATTTATTTTTACTTAAATGCCATCTCATACAGCAACAAAAAAGTTTTACTTTAATACTTATTATATTTGCAATGCGTTACAAATGTGAAATAAAGTTATAACAATTTGCATATATTATTTAGTCAAAATTCAAATTTGAAATTGGACCCTTTGTGGCGCTACTGTTCACCGATCGAAAACTCTGAAGTTGCACAAAATGGCGACCTGTCAGCACTTGTTGAAGGCGCCTTAGTTCTTTATGGGATTCTAGTGAAAACAAATGGCAAAAAAAAGAAGTGAGTGCTATATAAATAATGTAGTTAGTTGTGCAAGAAATATTTTGTGATGCAAGAAAAATGGAGCACCCTTAGAAGTCACGAGCGGCGGATCGGATAGTAATTGAAAGGTATGGTAATAGACATTTAGTATATAGACATTTGATAGTTTTGTTAAGAACGAGTTTTATGGGTTCGTGCTGATTCTTGCTTGTGATTTAGTAGTCAGTTTTAATGCATCGAATTCCAATACAGATTTTTTTATACTTAAAAGTTATATATACACTTATAGGTAATATTTTTACAACATAACCTGTAAGTTACAAGCAAAGATGTTGAAAATTGAAATAAAACTAGTGGGGCGCACGGCATCGTTCCTTAAGGCAACTTGCTGGAACTTCCCGTACCAAAAATTATTTTTAAAAACATTAACATTTTTGACACGCACACATACATCCATTTTTTGTAATGTATGTCAAAATGTCCAGAAACCTCACGATTACTATAACTTACCCTAAAGGTAAGGCAAGTTCCTTAAGGCAACTTGCTGGAACTTCCCGTACCAAAAATTATTTTTAAAAACATTAACATTTTTGACACGCACACATACATCCATTTTTTGTAATGTATGTCAAAATGTCCAGAAACCTCACGATTACTATAACTTACCCTAAGGGGAGTTAAAAAATGTAGTAAAAGAAATAGAATTAAATAAGTGAGCAAATAGTAATTATAAATAACTTGCAGAATTATGTTCTGGATCATAGATCACTCAGCCATTTTCTCTTTAGTTTTTCGACTGACTGGGATTGACATATGTATCCAATTTGTCTCGAACAATCAACCTTCTGCTTTTAATGACTTCTATTGGGAATTTTTAGGTCCTCGTGAATTATATATAAACCCATCAAGTGCTGCATATCATTCTCAGTATATTGTTTTGGGCTTTCTGAATTATAAATATATGTTATATACTATGTGTCGATATTGGAATTATCATCGAGAAGCTTATTCTGTAATCAAAGTTTGGATGATCATCCTATGAGCCAGTTCAGGTACTTCAATTTTAAATCTATTTATTCCTTTTTCATTATTATGTACATTTTCCAATTTAGTTTACTATCTACATGCATTATTAGATTTTTTATCAGGCCTTGTGTGGCTTCTTAATGAAACGATAAGATGTTGGTATTTGGTAACATCTGGTTCGATGTTCCATTTTTTAGCTATAATTCTGTTTCTCTTAGTGAGCTCAAGGTTTATTTATTTATTACCCTTTTTTATTTATTATGCCCCTCCTTGCAGACTTTTTTGACAGCACGTGAGGCTCCAAATAAAAACCTCGATATGCAATTTGAAGAAATGTTCCCATGACAATCTTACTAATGTTGAAATGCAGTTAAAATGGAGATTTTATTTTATTTTAGTTTGATTTTTAGACCATTCACACTTTTATACATTTATATTTTCTAGCAATTTACAATATCTTCTGACAAAATACTATATTTTCTGACACTTTTAAACAGTTTCTATGTTTTGTTAACATTTTCTGACTATTTTTAAACATTTTCAGATTTAAAGCATGTTCTGATGATTTACAATATTTTTTGATAATTTTTTTTAAACAATTTCTATGTTTTTTTCAAAACAATGGCTATTTATTTTAAATTTGAAATTATTTGACTATTTATTTTAAATTTGAAACTATCAGACTATTTATTTTAAATTTGAAACTATTTGACTATTTATTTTAAATTTGAAACTATTTGACTATTTATTTTAAATTTGAAACTATTTGACTATTTATTTTAAATTTGAAACTATTTGACTATTTATTTTAAATTTGAAACTATTTGACTATTTATTTTAAATTTGAAACTATTTGACTATTTATTTTAAATTTGAAACTATTTGACTATTTATTTTAAATTAAAAACTATTTGACTATTTATTCTAAATTTGAAACCATTTGACTATTTATTTTAAATTTGAAACTATTTGACTATTTATTTTAAATTTGAAACTATTTGACTATTTATTTTAAATTTGAAACTATTTGACTATTTATTTTAAATTTGAAACTATTTGACTATTTATTTTAAATTTGAAATTATTTGACTATTTATTTTAAATTTGAAACTATTTGACTATTTATTTTACATTTGAAACTATTTGACTATTTATTTTAAATTTGAAACTATTTGACTATTTATTTTAAATTTGAAACTATTTGACTATTTATTTTAAATTTGAAACTATTTGACTATTTATTTTAAATTTGAAACTATTTGACTATTTATTTTAAATTTGAAACTATTTGACTATTTATTTTAAATTTGAAACTATTTGACTATTTATTTTAAATTTGAAACTATTTGACTATTTATTTTAAATTTGAAACTATTTGACTATTTATTTTAAATTTGAAACTATTTGACTATTTATTTTAAATTTGAAACTATTTGACTATTTATTTTAAATTTGAAACTATTTGACTATTTATTTTAAATTTGAAACTATTTGACTATTTATTTTAAATTTGAAACTATTTGACTATTTATTTTAAATTTGAAACTATTTGACTATTTATTTTAAATTTGAAACTATTTGACTATTTATTTTAAATTTGAAACTATTTGACTATTTATTTTAAATTTGAAACTATTTGACTATTTATTTTAAATTTGAAATCATTTGACTATTTATTTTAAATTTTGAAACTATTTGACTAATTATTTTAAATTTGGAACTATTTGACTAGTTATTTTAAATTTGAAACTATTTGACTATTTATTTTAAATTTGAAACTATTTGACTATTTATTTTAAATTTGAAACTATTTGACTATTTATTTTAAATTTGAAACTATTTGACTATTTATTTTAAATTTGAAACTATTTGACTATTTATTTTAAATTTGAAACTATTTGACTATTTATTTCAAATTTGAAACTATTTGACTATTTATTTTAAATTTGAAACTATTTGACTAATTATATTAAATTTGAAACTATTTGACTATTTATTTTAAATTTGAAACTATTTGACTATTTATTTTAAATTTGAAACTATTTGACTATTTTATTTAAACGATTTTTATTTTATTCAAACAATTTTTATGTTTATTTATTTGCACACTCTGCAGTAGCACATCTTCGCATATATCTATAGTTCATGTCGGAAAAAGCCGCCAAAAAATTCATTCTTTCTTTTGGGACTTGCCGGGCGAGAACATTACATCATTACATCGGAGATTGGGATTGAAATCATTCTTCGTGTCTTCATGTTTCGGGCGAGAATATTTTCCAAGTTATATTACTATAAAATCAGCGTTCAATAAAAAATGCCATTGCTTTATGCTTACGCAATCTTATTTTTAGATCAGGAGAATTGACAAAGGGGTCCGTGGAGACACCATTTGAATACAATCACTACTTTTTCAAGAATTTTAAAGCAAAGATATTATGTAATCAAAATGCTTTTTATAGTTTAACTAATCATGTCCTTGATTTTTTTTGGGTAATGTTACACAACTCGATCCATCTTGTGCCCTGGCTGTATCTTGTCCGATAATTTTAAATATAATATGAAACTATTTAGTCAACTTAGCTGACATTTAGAATCCTAGACGACTTTGTGAAACATAACTTAGTGTTTTTTGAAATTTAATTTTCAACTAACCATGTGCTCGATTTATGTCGAGTAATGTTACATAAGTCAATCCATCTGATTGATTTCAAATATCATATGGAACTATTTAGTTGACTAAGCTAAGCTTTACAATTTGAAATCTGGAAGACTTTATGAAACATAATTTAGAAAGTGAGCATTTTGTGAAGTTGTTACTTTTTATTAGACTTGGTTGCTTTATCATTACTCTCAAATAGTATAGTTATCATTGGACAGTACAATTTGTTTAAAGTTTTATCAGAAGTTTTAATATTTTACGGCTTAGGTTGTACCTGTGTGAGATTTCTCACTCGTGCTTATTTCATACGAAGCATTTTGATTTTTTTTTATTAAGTATAAAGAAATAATGATTGATACAATTGTCATTTGATAATTTTGTATGTGCATTAATTTTTTGGGATGATTTTATTTAAAACTGATAATGAATTCTATTTATCTTTATCTTTATCGTAGTAGGTATAGATTGTAAGACTTATTGAACAAGAAGCCTTAATATTTATTGGATTATTATTTGTTCGAGATAGAGTTTGTTTTTTAGATTATTAGTAGCCACGCTTACATGGAGCATTTAGCCATCCACAACATTCCATTTTTTTATTCTAATTATTTTTTAAATTTTAATTTGTTATTGAAAGACAATTATTTTTATTCTTCAATATTAAGGAATAAATTTTATTTTATTATGCTATTTCACTTTGATAAATCAGAAAAACCTTATATGTAGAAAGGTGGGGTCTGTTAATCATACAGTCTGTTTTAAAGTTTTAAATTTTATCATGGAAGATTGTATCCGAAGTACAAAAATATTACTATTTCTTATATTGAGCATCGGCATCATTTTAATAATGCATTTATAATGATGTTCATTCCAATTTAATACTTATTTCTATATTTTACAGGTTCAGACCAATGTTTTTATTCGTATTGGAAAGCAAAATGAAGCTGCTTTGGAAATAATTTTGCAATTGAAATCAGTCGGAGCCCCTGACAAATCTAGTGTTCATTGGTTGAAGTTAATAATCTGAGGAAACTCATTCATTAACACAATAACTAGGTTTGAGTGTCATATTGCTTTAAGGTATGTTGAATAGATTTGCATAACAATCGGCGTAGTTGTTTGGGTTATTTTTTTGTCTGCTTTCAGACAGTTTACAATGTTTTTATATTTCTTCAAATGCTTTCATCTGACATCATCACTGTCATTTTAAGACTGTAAAAGTGATTTTGATTGGTGGCCATCAAATGAAAAAGCGACATGTCTCATTAAATATCGAGCATTTAGTAAATATTCCAAAGATGTCTGAAGCATTCTGAGGCTGTCTGAAAAATATACTGAAGATTCTTAAAAGTAAGTTAAAATACCAATAAGTTTTATTGATTGAATTGTGTTAATAAGTACATTTATCATCGATTTGCAATTACATTGATGTCCTTTTAACACTCAGCAGATTTGAATTTGCCATCGACGTCATCGCACTTTGGATGAATGCGGCGCTTTAAATATTTTACTTGATTTATATAAAAAATTAAGAAACCCTAGATAATCAAAGAAAATGTTAAAAAAAAAATTAATCATTGAATTAAATATCAAATTTTAATAAGACTTTGCATTTCATGATTCGAATGATTGCTTGCATGGTAGCTTTCGTATGGATTAATATATTACAGTGCACGCGTAGTTATAGTTTTAATAACACTAACAAATACTAACAAAATAACCATCTATTCTATTTTTAATCAATTACCATGTAATCATTTGAATCATTTAAAATAATGCAATGTGTAATTATCATTCATTACACTTTTTATCACTGCTTTCAATTCATAAATTCGTTTTCTGTACATCCAAGTGCGAATTGTAAACCGTTGTGACATTATTACATTTTATTTCTGAGTATTCGGACTAAGTCACATCAACACATAATGTACAAATTGAAGAAAACTGTAGGAAGTAAAATTATCAAGTAATGTATGAAAACTAGGTATATATTTGATTTATTTTATCAATTAATGATACATCATCAATTATGTATTCATCCATGTAACATAACTAATGTTCTTTTTTTTTCAGATACTTCTAATTCAACTGTCACTAATCTGAAGAAGTTCCACACTGATAACCTTCCCTAAAAGATGTATTCTAACCTTGTTTTTTTTATTGCAGGTTTAATTCTCCACTAATGAACCAACTGCTATCATCAACCCAACAGACTTTATCGACTCTAGTCAATCAAACAGTAAGCTCATATCAAGTATCTATCAGGCTGTATGTATCCTTTCTCAAACATTTTAAAAGATGTATTCTAACCTTTTTTTTGCAGGTTCAATTCTCCACTACTGAATCAACTGCCACCATCGACTCAACCGACTTTATCGACTCAAGTCAATCAAACGTATGTAAGCTCATATCAAGTATCTATCAGGCTGTATGTATCCTTTCTCAAACATTTTAAAAGATGTATTCTAACCTTTTGTTTTTTTTATTGCAGGTTCAATTCTCCACTACTGAATCAACTGCCACCATCGACTCAACCGACTTTATCAACTATAGTCAATCCAACAGTAAACTCATATCTTAACTTAGGTCTTTGGTCTTGGTCTTAACTTGTTGCCCTGGTCTTGGTCTTGTCTTGGTCTTGGTCTTGGTCTTGCTCGTGGTCTTGGTCGTAGTCTTAACTTGTTGCCCTGGTCTTAATCTTGGTCTTGGTATTGGTCTTAGTATTGGTCTTGGTCTTAACTTGTTGCCCTGGTCTTGGTTCTGGTCTTGGTCTTAACTTGTTGCCCTGGTCTTGGTTTTGGTCTTGGTATTGGTCTTGGTCTTGGTCTTGGTCTTAACTTGTTGCCCTGGTCTTGGTCTTGGTCTTGGTCTTGGTCTTGTATCCTTTCTCAAACATTTCGATATGTGTATTCTAACCTTATGTTTCTTTATTTCAGGTTCAATTCTCCACTACTGAACCCACTGCTATCATCAGCCCAACCGACTTTATCGACTCTAGTCAATCAAACGTAAGTAAGCTCATATCATGTATCTATCAGGCTGTATGTATCCTTTCTCAAACATTTTAAAAGATGTTTTCTAACCTTTTGTTTTTTTATTGCAGGTTCAATTCTCCACTAATGAACCAACTGCTATCATCAACCCAACAGAATTTACCGACTCTAGTTAGTCAAACGGTAAGTCTCCGCGGTCTCGGTCTTGGTCTTGTTCTCGGTCTCCTTGATCTTGGTCTCGGTTTCCTTGGTTTTGGTCTTGGTCTTGGTCTTGGTCTTGGTCTTGGTCTTGGTCTCGGTCTCGGTCTCGGTCTCCTCGGTCTTGGTCTCGGTCTCGGTCTTGGTCTCCTCGGTCTCGGTCTTGGTCTTGGTCTCGGTCTCGGTCTTCTCGGTCTTCTCGGTCTTGGTCTTGGTCTTGGTCTTGGTCTCGGTTTCGGTCTCCTCAGTCTCGGTCTTGGTCTTGGTCTCGGTTTCGGTCTCCTCGGTCTCAGTCTTGGCCTTGGTCTTGGTCTCGGTTTTGGTCTCCTCGGTCTCGGTCTTGGTCTCGGTCTCGGTCTTGGTCTCGGTCTCGGTCTCCTCGGTCTCGGTCTCGGTCTCGGTCTCGGTCTGCTCGGTCTTGGTCTTGGTCTTGGTCTCGGTTTCGGTCTCCTCGGTCTCGGTCTTGGCCTTGGTCTTGGTCTCGGTTTCGGTCTCCTCGGTCTCGGTCTTGGTCTTAGTCTCGGTCTCCTCGATCTCGGTCTCGATCTCCTCGGTCTCGGTCTCGGTCTCCTCGGTCTCGGTCTCCTCGGTCTCGGTCTCGGTCTACTCGGTCTCGGTCTCGGCCTCCTCGGTCTCGGTCTCGGTCTCCTCGGTCTCGGTCTCGGTCTCCTCGGTCTCGGTCTCGGTCTCCTCGGTCTCGGTCTCCTCGGTCTCGGTCTCCTCGGTCTCGGTCTCCTCGGTCTCGGTCTCCTCGGTCTCGGTCTCCTCGGTCTCGGTCTCCTCGGTCTCGGTCTCCTCGGTCTTGGTCTCCTCGGTCTCGGTCTCCTCGGTCTCCTCGGTCTCGGTCTCGGTCTCGGTCTCCTCGGTCTTGGTCTCGTTTTCGGTCTTCTCGGTCTCGATCTCGGTCTCTATCTTGGTCTCGGTCTCGGTCTTGGTCTCGGTCTTGGTCTTGGTCTTGGTCTCGGTCTTGGTCTTGGTCTCGGTCTCGGTCTTGGTCTCGGTCTCGGTCTCGGTCTCGGTCTCGGTCTCGGTCTCGGTCTCGGTCTCGGTCTTGGTCTCGGTCTCGGTCTCGGTCTCGGTCTCGGTCTCGTCTCGGTCTCGGTCTCGGTCTCGTTCTCCTTGGTCTCGGTCTCGGTCTCCTTGGTCTTGGTCTCGGTCTCCTTGGTCTTGGTCTCGGTCTCGGTCTCGGTCTTGGTCTCGGTTTCGGTCTCGGTTTCGGTCTCCTCGGTCTCCTCGGTCTTGGTCTCGGTCTCGGGTCTCGGTCCTGGTCTCGGTGTCCTCGGTCTTGGTCTTGATCTCGGTCCTGGTCTCGGTGTCCTCGGTCTTGGTCTCGGTCTTCTCGGTCTTGGTCTTGGTCTCGATCTTCTCGGTCTTGGTCTCGGTCTCCTCGGTTTCCTCGGTCTCCTCGGTTTCCTCGGTCTCCTCGGTCTCCTCGGTCTCCTCGGTCTCTTCGGTCTCCTCGGTCTCCTCGGTCTCCTCGGTCTCGGTCTCGGTCTCGGTCTCCTCGGTCTCCTCGGTCTCCTCGGTCTCGGTCTTGGTCTCGGTCTCCTCGGTCTCCTCGGTCTCCTCGGTCTCGGTCTTGGTCTCGGTCTCCTCGGTCTCGGTCTCTGTCTCGGTCTCGGTCTCGGTCTCGGTCTTGGTCTCGGTCTCGGTCTTGGTCTCGCTCTCTTCGGTCTTGGTTTCGGTCTCCTTGGTCTTGGTCTCGGTCTTGTTCTAGGTCTCGGTCTCGGTCTCGGTCTCGGTCTCCTTGGTCTTGGTCTTGGTCTTGGTCTCGGTCTCGGTCTTGGTCTTGGTCTCGGTCTCGGTCTCGGTCTCGGTCTCGGTCTTAGTCTCGGTCTTGGTCTTAGTCTCGGTCTTGGTCTCGCTCTTGGTTTCGGTCTTGGTTTCGGTCTTGATCTCGGTCTTGGTCTCGGTCTTGGTCTCGGTCTTGGTCTCGGTCTGCTCGGTCTTGGTCTTGGTCTCTTCGGTCTCGGTCTCGGTCTCCTCGGTCTCGGTCTCGGTCTCGGTCTCAGTCTCCTCGGTCTTGGTCTTGGTCTCGGTTTCGGTTTCGGTTTCGGTCTCCTCGGTCTCGGTCTTGGTCTCGGTCTTGGTCTCGGTCTCGGTCTTGGTCTCGGTCTTGGTCTCGGTCTCCTCGGTTTTGATCTTGGTCTCGATCTCGGTCTCGGTTTCGGTCTCCTCGGTCTTGGTCTCGGTCTCGGTCTCCTCGCTCTCGGTCTCCTCGCTCTCGGTCTCCTCGCTCTCGATCTCCTCGCTCTCGGTCTCCTCGCTCTCGATCTCCTCGCTCTCGGTCTTGGTCTCGGTCGCGGTCTTGGTCTCCTCGGTCATGGTTTCGGTCTCCTCGGTCTTGGTCTCGGTCTCGGTCTTGGTCTTGGTTTTGGTCTTGGTTTTGGTCTTGGTCTCGGTCTCCTCGTTCTCCTCGGTCTCGGTCTTGGTCTCGGTCTCGGTCTTGGTCTTGGTCTTGGTCTCGGTCTTGGTCTTGGTCTCGGTCTCGGTCTCGGTCTCCTCGGTCTCGGTCTCCTCGGTCTCGGTCTTGGTCTCGGTCTCAGTCTCCTCGGTCTCGGTCTCCTCGATCTCGGTCTCCTCGGTCTCGGTCTTGGTCTCGGTCTCGATCTCGGTCTCGGTCTCGGTCTCGGTCTCGGTCTCCTCGGTCTTGGTCTCGGTCTATATATTTTAATATTTATATATTTCGTTAAAACCTTAAAAATATCCCTCACACTATTAGTTATGCTTTTCGTTAAATATGAATAATTTTTAACGATTTTTAAACTTTATTGGATTTATCTGCTTCTTAAATTTACTCGTGACATTTTGAATATAAAACGATTTTAAATCATAAATTTGTACTAAAGTATATATATTTTTTATTCTAAATATTTAGTTAAAACCTCAAAATAATATATAGTTCTGAAAACTTAGCCTTTACCAAGTTGCAAATATTTTTTATGAATTTTTCAAACTCTACTTTAAATCGACTTCAGAAATATCACAACGCGATAATAATATATGTATAAAAAGCGATTTTAATTAACAAATATATACTAAAATAAACATTTTTGACTTAAATAAATAGCTTAAACTACAAAAAAAATTATTAGTATCAAAATTACCATTTCATTTAATTTTAAATTATTTTTAACGAATTTTGAAATCTTTGTTGTATATATTAGCTCAGAAGATCCTTCTTGACTAAAAAGAGGTTTTAAATAATAATTTTGTACTAGAGTATATACATTCATTTATTTAAATATTTTGTCAAAACTTCAAAAAACTTTTTGCACGAAAAATCACCTTTCTATACTATTTTTATCTAATTTTTATCTAATTTTCATCTAATTTTTATCAATTTTTATCAATATTTTCCTCCCCAGGTATACAGATTTGGCCTGGCTAGAAGAAAACGTTCGAAGGCAGGATTATTTCAAATGCATGTCCTCGATTTCTGCAAATCCTTTAAGTACTGATGCAACCTGGAAATACGTCCAGGACAATTGGCAAAAAATGATCGATAGGTTCGGATTGGGGGAAAGAAATTTGGGCAGACTTATTCCATCTGTTACCGACAGATTTACTACTGAGGATAGGCTGAAAGAGGTAAAAAGACGATATGAAAGATGATACAAAATTATCATTTATTCAAAATTTTTATATCGGAGTGTATAAAAGTGTGACCTAGGAAATGTTGTAAATTTTATCTAGTTTCACCCTGTGTAATTGAAAAGGGGTGGTTTTATATGAAGTATTGAGTTATTTGACTAAAACCAAAAAAATGTCCCGAATTAAAATTTAATTTTTCAGATGAATGACTTCTTTGCCAAATTTCCGGAGGCCGGAGCAGGAGCTGCTGCTCGGAAACTGTTTCCAATAATATAAAATGGTTAAAAGTTAACAAAGACGGTGTTGCAAAATGGTTGAACGAGAGAAAATGATTTAAAAAAATATATATATAAGTGCTCTTTAGTGTTGAAAGTCGAACGCAATTGTAAAACTAAACAGAAAGTTTTTTTTTATTAAATAAATAAAGTATGTGCATATTTTTGTTATTAATTTAATTTCAAGGTATTCCTCTGTCTGTAAAAAAATAATAGGAGCAATAATAATATGCGTTTAATTTTTGTATTTTGTATAAATAAAAATTGATATATTTTGTATATCTTTTATATATTATATGGTTCAATTTAACACTGATTTGATTTTAAATAAGAGCAAATTAATAATTAAATGAATATATAAACAAGATTTAAAACAAAAAACAAGTCAAAATAGAAAATATTTTTCAGTCAAGACAGGTTTTATAGCTGCTCGAAGACTGAGATTATATCGTCAACAAAAAAGTAAAAAAAATACCATCAGCCAATGAATGTATGTTAATTTTAATTACATGAAGTTCTTCAAACAGAATTATTACATGATGAGTGAAGTTGCAAAAACAATATTTGGCGTTGTTTAACATAATAATTATCTGCATTTTTATAGATAATAAAAAATATTGAAGCAGTACACCTTTATTCTATCATGCCGAAGATATATCCATTTCAAAATTATATCTCAGATATTTTTGGTAGTTTAGATGAAGTCTACAAGTTTTTCGATCATGCTGAGTATTACAAAGTTGCATAATGAAGAATAAATTGATATTCAGATTTATTAATCTAAACAAGAGTTGAAGCACAAGAATAGTTTGTGTAGGTTTGTATCATTTCTATACATATATACTTTATAATGGACATCTATGCTATAAATAAACTATTTATTTGTTACAAGTTTACTGTGTGAATTTATTAATCAGCAATTACTTCATTTCTTTAATGAAGGTTCATTTTTAAATGCTAATTACAATGACAAACCGACAATGTCATATCCGAAGTATGACTTTGATTACATTATTGTTTGTAAATATTATACATATTTTTAATGCTATTATAAATATATAATTTATCATTATCATATAAATGTGTATAATGGTTGACACTAATAAATGTGTGCATCACGAGTGTTACCATATTACTGATGAGCGTTATTCAAAATTGTTATATGATGTATTTATTTTTACTTAAATGCCATCTCATACAACAACAAAAAAGTTTTACTTCAATACTTATTATATTTGCAATGCGTTACAAATGTGAAATGAAGTTATAACAATTTGCATATATCATTTAGTCAAAATTCAAATTTGAAATTGAATCCTTTGTGGCGCTACTGTTCACCGATCAAAAACTCTGAAGTTGCACAAAATGGCGACCTGTCAGCACTTGTTGAAGGCGCCTTAGTTCTTTATGGAATTCTAGTGAAAACATTGCAAAAAAAAAGAAGTGAGTGCTATATGAATAATGTAGTTAGTTGTGCAAGAAATATTTTGTGATGCAAGAAAAATGGAGCACCCTTAGAAGTCACGAGCGGCGGATCGGATAGTAATTGAAAGGTATGGTAATAGACATTTAGTATATAGACATTTGATAGTTTTGTTAAGAACGAGTTTTATGGGTTCGTGCTGATTCTTGCTTGTGATTTAGTAGTCAGTTTTAATGCATCGAATTCCAATACAGATTTTTTTATACTTAAAAGTTATATATACACTTATAGGTAATATTTTTACAACATAACCTGTAAGTTACAAGCAAAGATGTTGAAAATTGAAATAAAACTAGTGGGGCGCACGACATCGTTCTTTAAGGCAACTTGCTGGAACTTCCCGTACCAAAAATTATTTTTAAAAACATTAACGTTTTTGACACGCACACATACATCTATTTTTTGTAATGTATGTCAAAATGTCCACAAACCTCACGATTACTATAACTTACCCTAAGGGGAGTTAAAAAATGTAGTAAAAGAAATAGAATTAAATAAGTGAGCAAATAGTAATTATAAATAACTTGCAGAATTATGTTCTGGATCATAGATGACTCAGCCATTTTCTCTTTAGTTTTTCGACTGACTGGGATTGACATATGTATCCAATTTGTCTCGAACAATCAACCTTCTGCTTTTAATGACTTCTATTGGGAATTTTTAGGTCCTCGTGAATTATATATAAACCCATCAAGTGCTGCATATCATTCTCAGTATATTGTTTTGGGCTGAATTATACAAATATGTTATATACCATGTGTCGATATTGGAATTATCATCGAGAAGCTTATTTTGTAATCAAAGTTTGGATGATCATCCTATGAGCCAGCTCAGGTACTTCAATTTTAAATCTATTTATTCCTTTTTCATTATTATGTACATTTTCCAATTTAGTTTACTATCTACATGCATTATTAGATTTTTTATCAGGCCTTGTGTGGCTTCTTAATGAAACGATAAGATGTTGGTATTTGGTAACATCTGGTTCGATGTTCCATTTTTTAGCTATAATTCTGTTTCTCTTAGTGAGCAAAAGATGCTCAAGGTTTATTTATTTATTACCCTTTTTTTATTTATTATGCCCCTCCTTGCTTTTTTGACAGCACGTGAGGCTCCAAATAAAAACCTTGGTATGCAATTTGAAGAAATGTTCCCATGACAATCTTACTAATGTTGAAATGCAGTTAAAATGGAGATTTTGATTTTTAGACCATTCACACTTTCATACATTTATATTTTCTAGCAATTTACAATATCTTCTGACAAAATACTATATTTTCTGACACTTTTAAACAGTTTCTATGTTTTGTTAACATTTTCTGACTATTTTTAAACATTTTCAGATTTGAAGCATGTTCTGATGATTTACAATATTTTTTGATAATTTTTTCTAAACAATTTCTATGTTTTTTTCAAAACAATGACTATTTATTTTAAATTTGAAACTATTTGACTATTTATTTTAAATTTGAAACTATCAGACTATTTATTTTAAATTTGAAACTATTTGACTATTTATTTTAAATTTGAAACTATTTGACTATTTATTTTAAATTTGAAACTATTTGACTATTTATTTTAAATTTGAAACTATTTGACTATTTATTTTAAATTTGAAACTATTTGACTATTTATTTTAAATTTGAAACGATTTGACTATTTATTTTAAATTTGAAACTATTTGACTATTTATTTTAAATTTGAAACTATTTGACTATTTATTATAATTTTGAAACTATTTGACTATTTATTTTAATTTTGAAACTATTTGACTATTTATTTTAAATTTGAAACTATTTGACTATTTATTTTAAATTTGAAACTATTTGACTATTTATTTTAAGTTTGAAACTATTTGACTATTTATTTTAAATTTGAAACTATTTGACTATTTATTTTAAATTTGAAACTATTTGACTATTTATTTTAAATTTGAAACTATTTGACTATTTATTTTAAATTTGAAACCATTTGACTATTTATTTTAAATTTGAAACTATTTGACTATTTATTTTAAATTTGAATCTATTTGACTATTTATTTTAAATTTGAAATTATTTGACTATTTATTATAAATTTGAAACTATTTGACTATTTATTTTAAATTTGAAATTATTTGACTATTTATTTTAAATTTGAAACTATTTGACTATTTATTTTACATTTGAAACTATTTGACTATTTATTCTAAATTTGAAACTATTTGACTATTTATTTTAAATTTGAAACTATTTGACTATTTATTTTAAATTTGAAACTATTTGACTATTTATTTTAAATTTGAAACTATTTGACTATTTATTTTAAATTTGAAACTATTTGACTATTTATTTTAAATTTGAAACTATTTGACTATTTATTTTAAATTTGAAACTATTTGACTATTTATTTTAAATTTGAAACTATTTGACTATTTATTTTAAATTTGAAACACTTTTTGGGATCTTTATTTTAAATTTGAAACTATTTGACTATTTATTTTAAATTTGAAACTATTTGACTATTTATTTTAAATTTGAAACTATTTGACTATTTATTTTAAATTTGAAACTATTTGACTATTTATTTTAAATTTGAAACTATTTGACTATTTTATTTAAACGATTTTTATTTTATTTAAACAATTTTTATATTATTTACTTGCACAATCTGCAGTAGCACATCTTCGCATATATCTATGGTTCATGTCGGAAAAAGCCGCCAAAAAATTCATTCTTTCTTTTGGGACTTGCCGGGCGAGAACATTACATCATTACATCGGAGATTGGGATTGAAATCATTCCTCGTGTCTTCATGTTTCAAGCGAGAATATTTTCCAAGTTATATTACTATAAAATCAGCGTTCAATAAAAAATGCCATTGCTTTATGCTTACGCAATCTTATTTTTAGATCAGGAGAATTGACAAAGGGGTCCGTGGAGACTCCATTTGAATACAATCACTACATTTTCAAGAATTTTAAAGCAAAGATATTATGTAATCAAAATGCTTTTTATAGTTTAACTAACCATGTGCTTGATTTTTTTGGGTAATGTTACACAACTCGATCCATCACTCATCTTGTGCCTTAGCTGTATCTTGTCCGATAATTTTAAATATAATATGAAACTATTTAGTCGACTTAGCTGACATTTAGAATCCTGGACGACTTTATGAAACATAATTTAGTGTTTTTTGAAATTTAATTTTCAACTAACCATGTGCTCGATTTATGTCGAGTAATGTTACTCAAGTCAATCCATCTGATTGATTTCAAATATCATATGAAACTATTTAGTTGACTAAGCTGAGCTTTACAATTTGATATCTGGAAGACTTTATGAAACATAATTTAGAAAGTGAGCATTTTGTAAAGTTGTTACTTTTTATTAGACTTGGTTGTTTTATCATTACTCTCAAATAGTTTAGTTATCATTGAACAGTACAATTTGTTTAAAATTTTATCAGAAGTTTTAATATTTCACGGCTTAGGTTGTACCTGTGTAAGATTTCTCATTCGTGCTTATTTCATACGAAGCATTTTGATTTTTTTTATTAAGTATAAAGAAATAATGATTGATACAATTGTCATTTGATAATTTTGTATGTGCATTAATTTTTTGGGATGATTTTATTTAAAACTGATAATGAATTCTATTTATCTTTATCTTTATCGTAGTAGGTATAGATGGTAAGACTTATTGAACAACAAGCCTTAATATTTATTGGATTATTATTTATTCGAGATAGAGGTTTTTTTTAGATTATTATTAGCCACGCTTACATGGAGCATTTAGCCATCCACAACATTCCATTTTTTTATTCTTATTATTTTTTAAATTTTAATTTCTTATTGAAAGACAATTATTTTTATTCTTCAATATTAAGGAATAAATTTTGATTCATTATGCTATTTCACTTTGATAAATCAGAAAATCTTATATGTAGAAAGGTGGAGTCTGTTAATCATACAGTCTGTTTTAAAGTTTTAAATTTTATCATGAAAGATTGTATCCGACAAAAATTTTACTATTTCTTATATTGAGCATCGGCATAATTTTAATAATGCATTTATAATGATGTTCATTCCAATTTAATACTTATTTCTATATTTTACAGGTTCAGACCAATGTTTTTATTTGTATTGGAAAGCAAAATGAAGCTGCTTTGGAAATAATTTTGCAATTGAAATCAGTCGGAGCCCCTGACAAATCTAGTGTTCATTGGTTGAAGTTAATAATCTGAGGAAACTCATTCATTAACACAATAACTAGGTTTGAGTGTCATATTGCTTTAAGGTATGTTGATTAGATTTGCATAACAATTGGCCTAGTTGTTTGGGTTATTTTTTTTGTCTGCTTTCAGACAGTTTACAATGTTTTTATATTTCTTCAAATGCTTTCATCTGACATCATCACTGTCATTTTAAGACTGTAGAAGAGATTTTGATTGGTGGCCATCAAATGAAAAAGCGACATGTCTCATTAAACATCGAGCATTTAGTAAATATTCCAAAGATGTCTGAAGCATTCTGAGGCTGTCTGAAAAATATACTGAAGATTCTTAAAAGTAAGTTAAAATACCAATAAGTTTTATTGATTGAATTTTGTTAATAAGTACATTTATCAATTATTTGCAATTACATTGATGTCCTTTTAACACTCAGCAGATTTGAATTTGCCATCGACGTCATCGCACTTTGGATGAATGCGGCGCTTTAAATATTTTACTTGATTTATATAAAAAATTAAGAAACCCTAGATAATCAAAGAAAATGTTAAAAAAAAATTAATCATTGAATTAAATATCAAATTTTAATAAGACTTTGCATTTCATGATTCGAATGATTGCTTGCATGGTAGCTTTTGTATGGATTAATATATTACAGTGCATGCGTAGTTCTAGTTTTAATAACACTAACAAATACTAACAAAATAACCATCTATTCTATTTTTAATCAAATACCATGTAATCATTTGAATCATTTAAAATAATGCAATGTGTAATTATCATTCATTACACGTTTTATCACTGCTTTCAATTCATAAATTCGTTTTCTGTACATCCAAGTGCAAATTGTAAACCGTTGTGACATTATTACATTTTATTTCTGAGTATTCGGACTAAGTCACATCAACACATAATGTACAAATTGAAGAAAACTGTAGGAAGTGGAATTATCAAGTAATGCATGAAAACTAGGTATATATTTGATTTATTTTAGCAATTAATGATACATCATCAATTATGTATTTATCCATGTAACATAACTAATGTTCTTTTTTTTTCAGATCCTTCTAATTCAACTGTCACTAATCTGAAGAAGTTCCACACTGATAACCTTCTCTAAAAGATGTATTCTAACCTTGTTTTTTTTATTGCAGGTTCAATTCTCCACTAATGAACCAACTGCTATCATCAACCCAACAGACTTTATCGACTCTAGTCTATCAAACAGTAAGCTCATATCAAGTATCTATCAGGCTGTATGTATCCTTTATCAATCATTTTAAAAGATGTATTCTAACCTTTTGTTTTTTTTATTGCAGGTTCAATTCTCCACTACTGAATCAACTGCCACCATCGACTCAACCGACTTTATCAACTCTAGTCAATCCAACAGTGAACTCATATCTTAACTTAGATCTTTGGTCTTGGTCTTAACTTGTTGCCCTGGTCTTGGTCTTGGTATTGGTCTTGGTCTTGGTCTTGGTCTTGCTCGTGGTCTTGGTCTTGGTCTTGGTCTTGCTCGTGGTCTTGGTCTTGGTCTTGCTCGTGGTCTTGGTCGTGGTGTCGTGATCTTGGTCGTGGTCTTGGTCGTGATCTTAACTTGTTGCCCTGGTCTTAATCTTGGTCTTGGTATTGGTCTTGGTCTTAACTTGTTTCCCTGGTCTTGGTCTTGGTCTTGGTCTTGGTCTTGGTATTGGTATTGGTATTGGTCTTGGTCTTAACTTGTTGCCCTGGTCTTGGTCTTGGTCTTGGTATTGGTTTTGGTCTTGTTATTGGTCTTGGTCTTGGTCTTAACTTGTTGCCCTGGTCTTGGTCTAGGTCTTGGTATTGGTCTTGGTCCTAACTTGTTGCCCTGGTCTTGGTCTTGGTCTTGGTATTGGTCTTGGTCTTAACTTGTTGCCCTGGTCTTGGTCTTGGTCTTGGTATTGGTCTTGGTCTTAACTTGTTGCCCTGGTCTTGGTCTTGGTCTTGGTCTTAACTTGTTGCCCTGGTCTTGGTCTTGGTCTTGGTCTTGGTCTTGGTCTTGGTCTTGGTCTTAACTTGTTGGTCTTAACTGTACAACCAAGTGCGAATTGTAAACCGTTGTGACATTGTTACATTTTATTTCTGAGTATTCGGACTAAGTCACATCAACACATAATGTACAAATTGAAGAAAACTGTAGAAAGTGGAAAAATCAAGTAATGTATGAAAACTAGGTATATTTTTGATTTATTTTATCAATTAATGATACATCAATCATGTATACAATCAATTATGATATTCAATAGTGATATCAATTATGATATCAATTATGATATTTAGGATAAATCAAATATGTATTCATCCATGTAACATAACTAATGTTCTTTTTTTTTCAGATCCTTCTAATTCAACTGTCACTAATCTGAAGAAGTTCCACACTGATAACCTTCTCTAAAAGAATGAACCAACTGCTATTATCAACCCAACAGACTTTATCGACTCTAGTCAATCAAACGTAAGTAAGCTCATATCAAGTATCTATCAGGCTGTATGTATCCTTTCTCAAACATTTTAAAAGATGTTTTCTAACCTTTTGTTTTTTTTTATTGCAGGTTCAATTCTCCACTAATGAACCAACTGCTATTATCAACCCAACAGACTTTATCGACTCTAGTCAATCAAATGGTAAGTCTCCGCGGTCTCGGTCTTGGTCTCGGTCTTGGTCTCGGTCTTGGTCTCGGTCTCGGTCTCGGTCTCGGTCTCGGTCTCGGTCTCGGTCTCGGTCTCGGTCTCGGTCTCGGTCTCGGTCTCGGTCTCCTCGGTCTCGGTCTCGGTCTCCTCGGTCTCGATCTTGGTCTCGGTCTTGGTCTCGGTATTGGTCTCGGTCTCCTCGGTATTGATCTCGGTCAATGCATTTAAAATAATGCAATGTGTAATTATCATTCATTACACGTTTTATCACTGCTTTCAATTCATAAATTCGTTTTCTGTACATCCAAGTGCAAATTGTAAACCGTTGTGACATTATTACATTTTATTTCTGAGTATTCGGACTAAGTCACATCAACACATAATGTACAAATTGAAGAAAACTGTAGGAAGTGGAATTATCAAGTAATGCATGAAAACTAGGTATATATTTGATTTATTTTAGCAATTAATGATACATCATCAATTATGTATTTATCCATGTAACATAACTAATGTTCTTTTTTTTTCAGATCCTTCTAATTCAACTGTCACTAATCTGAAGAAGTTCCACACTGATAACCTTCTCTAAAAGATGTATTCTAACCTTGTTTTTTTTTATTGCAGGTTCAATTCTCCACTAATGAACCAACTGCTATCATCAACCCAACAGACTTTATCGACTCTAGTCTATCAAACAGTAAGCTCATATCAAGTATCTATCAGGCTGTATGTATCCTTTATCAAACATTTTAAAAGATGTATTCTAACCTTTTGTTTTTTTTTATTGCAGGTTCAATTCTCCACTACTGAATCAACTGCCACCATCGACTCAACCGACTTTATCAACTCTAGTCAATCCAACAGTGAACTCATATCTTAACTTAGGTCTTTTAACTTGTTGCCCTGGTCTTGGTCTTGGTATTGGTCTTGGTCTTGGTCTTGGTCTTGCTCGTGGTCTTGGTCTTGGTCTTGGTCTTGCTCGTGGTCTTGGTCTTGGTCTTGCTCGTGGTCTTGGTCGTGGTGTCTTGATCTTGGTCGTGGTCTTGGTCGTGATCTTAACTTGTTGCCCTGGTCTTAATCTTGGTCTTGGTATTGATCTTGGTCTTAACTTGTTTCCCTGGTCTTGGTCTTGGTCTTGGTCTTGGTCTTGGTATTGGTAATGGTATTGGTCTTGGTCTTAACTTGTTGCCCTGGTCTTGGTCTTGCTCTTGGTATTGGTTTTGGTCTTGTTATTGGTCTTGGTCTTGGTCTTAACTTGTTGCCCTGGTCTTGGTCTAGGTCTTGGTATTGGTCTTGGTCCAAACTTGTTGCCCTGGTCTTGGTCTTGGTCTTGGTATTGGTCTTGGTCTTAACTTGTTGCCCTGGTCTTGGTCTTGGTCTTGGTATTGGTCTTGGTCTTAACTCGTTGCCCTGGTCTTGGTCTTGGTCTTGGTATTGGTCTTGGTCTTAACTTGTTTTCCTGGTCTTGGTCTGGGTCTTGGTCTTAGTCTTCGTCTTAACTTGTTTCCCTAGTCTTGGTCTTGGTATTAACTTGTTTTCCTGGTCTTGGTCTTGGTCTTGGTCTTAACTTGTTGCTCTGGTCTTGGTCTTGGTCTTGGTCTTAACTTGTTGCCCTGGTCTTGGTCTTGGTCTTGGTCTTGGTCTTGGTCTTGGTCTTGGTCTTGGTCTTAACTTGTTGGTCTTAACTGTACAACCGAGTGCGAATTGTAAACCGTTGTGACATTGTTACATTTTATTTCTGAGTATTCGGACTGAGTCACATCAACACATAATGTACAAATTGAAGAAAACTGTAGGAAGTGGAAAAATCAAGTAATGTATGAATATAGGTATATTTTTGATTTATTTTATCAATTAATGATACATCAGTCATGTATACAATCAATTATGATATTCAATAGTGATATCAATTATGATATCAATTATGATATTTAGGATAATTC